ATATATATGTTAGTATTTGTTTGCAGGCAACACAATTTTGCACAGTCTAATTAAACTAGAGCCAAAAAGCACCAGTCCCAAGCTAAGAAAAAGAAGTTTGTTGTGCAGTACCCAGAACGGTTCCAAATATATTCAACAACACTGACAAGTAATTTTACAGGCTGTCACAAATGACTTCCTTTGGGAGTACTGTAGCCAATTTCATATATGAGTGAAACTCTCTTTAGCAGCATGGCATTTGGCTTCGACTCACCCATCCATATGGTAATAACATATAGCCAGGGTGCAAAGATAAACTCAGCAGCTTAACTACAGCAGTCCGTGTAAGGTCGTGTTGCATTGTGATTAGTGCGCCCGTGAGGGCTGTTAAAGTCTGTGTGTTCATCAAAATGGCATCTAGTGCCTGTTGGCAAACCTCAACCCAGATGTTCATTTACACTGCGTAGAGAAGTGATGCTGATTCACCCTGATTTCCAATGCCTTGATTACTTGCTTTCCCATGCATTTCAAATTCGAGGAAAATCTTGCTGGAGCACTTCAAGTAAAGCTCTAACATGGATTTCCCTGAAATAAAATCAGCTAGATTTAGACTAACTTGATATGAAAGTGTTTTTTTTTTTTGTTTGTTCCCATGTGATCAGCAGCCTACTTATTGGTACATTAGGTGCAGGTTTGCCAAGACTCGAACTTTTCATTCTCCAACACATGGTGTTAACCAATACAAACAATAAAAAAGAAAATACAACCTAAACCATAACTGTACATGTAAGTGCTCACCAGCAAGAGACAGACAGCATGTGTACACCCACATTTCACACAATCTCCAGTTAATGTGTTTTTTTTCAATTATTTAAACTTCTACAACAATTTTCTTATAGCTTTACAATAACAGTTCTTTACCCAAGATTAATCGGACATTTTCCTCAGCTAGGATTCTGTCACAAAATCATTGCGTTGCCCCTGGAACATGGAGATGTACACCAATTGTTTGTTGTTCAATTAGGAAAACAGGGCATTATAGGAAACTACACATCGCATGTGTCTATCACAATCTAGTCAACACGTCTTTGCCAAAAATGCAAGCAGAGAGTACTGTACATACATATTCATATATAACACCTTCAATATGAAGGTTTATTCTGAAAGATATAATCATATTTAACAAGTGATAAACCTATTTAAATTCTCTGGGCGGAGGTGGTTATAATGTCATTTGGCAAGGCCTTCCGACCAGACCTCCACAGGTAGTGTTTTAGTTGAAAGACAAGTGGGCGGCATCTTGCTATAGTGGCAAAACAAATAGATGTTAAAAAAAAAACAAAAAAAAAAAACAATATACTGTATATAAACAAGATTAACATTTCATGTGTTCATTCAAGATACATTACTGAAACAAACATTTTTAAAAAAGCAAACCAAAAAAATAAAAAGAAAAGAAAAAAATGCTAAATTGAAAATGGTGCTTTACTGTACATCCCTGTATACGTCTCCCTCCAGTTGCTTCTACTGGTATTTGCTTCTTCGTCTTCCGGGCCTTTTCGTCTCACCAGGTGAAGGCATCTTCATTTCACAGACTGACAACAGTATGGATAAAAATCACAGGTCACAGGTTTCTAAATGTCTCACACTCGTGTCTACGATTATATATATTTTTTTGTTGTTTCGTTTTACTCCAGATAACATAGAACAGTTTCACTCATTTTACCACAAAGCTAGAACTTGTGAGTTGCTCCCTGTGTTGTCTGATTGTTGGAGTTGTTTCAGTTTACGGTGACACAAAAGCAGTTTGAAACCACAGCCGTTGACATTTGTCCTCCTTTTGTGATCAATGAAGAAACAGTACCAGGTCTGGACCCTGAATGCCTGGGATGGAGTGCAGATAGTATGACAACTGTCATCCATGTGGGAGTGTAGACCCTGGTCTCCTGTTGCCATGCTAGATTGTTAGATTAAGACGATAGTCTCGACTCTGGCGCGTTCCGATGGATCGGGGGTCATTCGAGGGCTGCTGCTGTTGGTCCTGCGAATGCTGCCCTTTCCGTGGCACAGCGCCTCCTGCAGTCATGCCATAGTTGGAGGTGACTGGCTCATCTGCACCCTCATGGACTGAATGTTACTGAGGATTTTCTTCTGGTGGCCTGCCAGGGTCACTCCTATTCTAAGCAAGTCCCTAGAGGAAGACATAGAAAAAAAGAGGCAGAGGAAAAGAAATTGAAAAAGCGAGAACCTGTTTTGAAGACGCAGATGAAAGGATTCCCATCATATTGAAGGTAGAATGGATCATTTGAATGAGATGCGATTGTACCAGCAGAAAAGGGCCTGTCATTTTCTGAAGCAGTTACAGTCATACCTTCACTACATGTGAAAGCACAATTTCAGGACAGACAGCTAACAGCGATGAACAGAAAGCACATTTCCTCAAAATTAATCCTATATGACTTGAGAGAATACTTGGTCAAAACATGTTGCTTTGAACTGCAAACAGACTGCATAAATATTACTAAAGCCCCAAGCATACATTTTTAATCAAAGTGTTTGAATAATTTTACATTTTCATCACATTGTTAATTAAAATAAATTGAGTGTAGGGGTTGTGTTATTTTGAAAAAATATTGCCCTGACCCTTACTCTTAAACACGCCAGTAGCCTTGAGTAAATACACTCCTTAAAGTTGTGCATTGAAATGATTTGGAAGTCTTAAAACTAAATTAAAAAAAATCTTACTGTTGTCATAATACCAAAGTAGCACATGATTATTTTCTCTCGCCACAGTAAATATGCACTATTTTTGTTGCAATAAGTACTATTTTTATTACTCACGCAGTCTTCAATGTAATGCAATCACTGAATGACTTGAGTCACTGGCTGCATTCATGCTAAAAATTCAAGCACTTGAACATGGAGTCATTTTATACAAGTGTGCCCATCAACAGCCGTAGGGGGGTTTGGAATACTTCATTTGCACAAAAAGGCAAGCAAACTCACTCTGAGGTCATCTGAGCCACCAGCTGCAGGGAGGTAAAGCCTGAGTTGAGGAAGTTGTCTCTGTACTGGCTCATCTTAATGGCACTGAGCCAGTCCTCGACTGAACTGAAGGTGTTGAAGTCCGGTATGGATCTGTCCAACAGTGGCTGTGAAGGCCTGAAAAGAAGGAAAAGAGAGATGGAAGGGTTAAAATGATAAGACAATGATTTTGATTTAATATAGCAAGCAGGATTTTAAAATTAACTAGAAAAAATGCACGGTTGGTTTATGTAGGTTTGTTTAAGAAGACACGTCATTTTCAGGCCAGCAATGTCTTCAAATGAAAACCCAAAATGTCTCACAAAAGTGTCCATTCCACAGAGACCTTATGGACTAGCATGCTTCACTGTAAAAACTCAGCTTGACATTAATCCAAAAGTTCACCTTGGGCAACATGGCAGCGACCCAACTCACACAGCCAAAACAAACAGCTTCAGGCTTCTGAGTGACCCTCAGTAGTTCAGCCAACCTGAACGTTCAAATTAATCTCTGTAGAAGCCAAATGACTCTGAGACAGACCACATCCAATTTGACTTTGCTTAACTAGATTTAGAAAAAAATGCTTTGGTAAATATAGTTAAAAAACTGGAGGAAATGTTGTATTTAATTACTGCTAAGTTAATGCTAGTGGCATTTCTTAAATTAAAATATCCCATGTGCTTTTTTTAGTAAATAGATGATTTTGTATGCTTATGATGTGCTTTTCTTACATCTTGTTTGTGCTTCATCAGTACAGGGTTATAAGGTAAAAGCCAGTATTGGAACTGGGTAGAAAAGTACAAAAAAAAAGGTAAAAAGTTCAAGTTTGATGCAATCAAGAGTAATACCATTATTAAAGAAAAAAGAAAACCATGCGAGAGCTGAGTTAGTTTGTGAGGAAATGCTACACAAACAGATGATTTGACCACTCTTAATATCAAGTTAATATTCAATCTGTGTCTTCCAAAGTGTTTTACTCACACTGCAGGCATGTTGGCTACAGCTTTGAGGCTGGTAGGGTTACGGATCATCTTGTCCAGGGTGCTGACAATGTCTGCAAAGCGAGGTCGCACGTTGCGGTCTTTCTGCCAACAGTCCAGCATCAGTTGGTGCAAGGCACTGGGGCAGTCCATGGGGGGTGGCAAGCGATAATCCTGTTCAATAGCATTGATCACCTTGGAGGAAAAAAGGATAGTGATACGCCATTGCTGCAGTTTGCATTTCAAGTGAAAAGTTTTACATGTTTAAGAAAGTTTTGCAAGTTGAAAGAAAATCTTATTTGTCTTTTTTTATTTATTTTAAAATACTTGCAATATTACCATACTGTATTTGATCTACAGTCAGAAAGGCTGAAGAGTTATGAGGTAGGAGAGACATCTTGTTCTAAATAAAATAATGCAGTTTTAAAGTTATCGTTTAATGTTTAAGTTCTACCTCAGTAAGTACTCTGTATCTGTACTTGGTGTCAGATAGTTCCCAAACGGAAGTACTTCTACTCATACTCAGTTTAAGAAAAACTGGTTTTTGGACATCCCCAGACTCAATCACATTGAAGCTGTCTTCTACAGCCAATCAACATTAGACAACACAAAATGGCTATAACTCAGGCCGATCTTACAATAACTAGGTAAAATTTGATGAGGTAATAGCTGAAAGATTGCACAGAATTATTTCCAAAGTTGACTGTAACATTGGTTACAGTGGGCGGAGGCATACTGTTCTCTGGCTGTCTGTCCCGCATTGTTGCGACATTGTTGATATAGTTACATACTTCTTAGAATATGTAAGTCCAAAAATAGAGGTAAAAAGGTAACTGCATGCCAGTGCTTTCAATAAAGATGACTGCAGGGCAGGCAGAGGCATACCAGTCGATGCTTTGACACTGAGTTCTATCTTGTTCATTACAAGATGAACTTAGTCTAAAACTCTGGTATGAAAGGCAGCAGGTAAWATGCACTCCTTCACAGGCCTTTAACTTATTTAGATTTTCTTCTTCAGCAAATTATCATAAAATATGCAAGAAAACAAAACAAAACAAACAAACAAAAAACAAAACAACCAACATATTTTAGACCACCCTTTGAGTTTGTTCAAAGCAACATCTTGCAGCAAACTGTGTCTGTCAATCAACACATGAATGTTTACAAAAATGTGAAAAATACCTTTCTGGTTAACAGTGATCACCATCTTATTTGTACTAAWTATGCTCTATCTCTTTTTCTAAGGGAGAAGCAAATCTCCAAATATGTCTGTATCTATAAAAAAATGCTTTTTTGRTTTGAAAGGCAACTGGGCACCAATGGTTGCTTGTACAAGAAAATTGAAAACTGTTTAGTACAAGAAACATGTTAAACAAAAGGCAATGACAAAACATTAAAAAATAGGCAACTTAACATTTTTAAATGTCTGATTACATTTGTGGTACRTAGCATCCAGCTGCTGCCAGTTTCAATACTTTTGTATCAACTGGCAGACAGGCGATAACATGAACTTCATTAAAAACAACAATATTGGAGTTTTCTGTGATTTCACTTGGCGTAGCCACTAAATAGTCATGACACACTCCAAMCTGCCCCACACCAACCCTGCCAGTATCCCTCCCTATGACTCCTTACTCCTGCTGCTCGCTTAAGTGACAGTTGCATTCAGGCTGAYGTGCCCTTCTTCCTGACACTAGCCAATCACGTCAGTCCTGGAGGACACAATGAGGAAACAGAGCGAAAGCAGGCTGTGGTGCTGCGAGCGCCACTGGAGGAATGGACAGATTTCAAATAATTAAAGCCGTTAAGTACATCCACTTGACATGTGCCACTTAAAAAAACTTCTCAGGCTATGTTGCACTTAACAACTAAGAGTTTCAGAGGAGTCACAGTTGGAGTCAAGTGTTTARAAAACTGGTTTGTAACTTGAGACACATGCAAGACTTTAACTGAAGTAGTGGCAATGCATCTTGAGGTTAAGGCACTTTATTTTTGGATTTAAAGTGGGTTTAAAAAAAGAACATACCTAAACAAAATGTTATACAATGTAATAAGTGAAGCATGCTTATTCAGCATCTATGAAAGGCCTTTGAAAACTAAGCATTAAGAATACACAGATGGACCTAGCATTACAATTTCAATAAGTYTAACCTATCTGTGCAGATGCCATCTTCTGTCTTTCAGTTGCAAGATAAAAGACTAATGTAATAACCAGTGCAAAAGACACCATCCTTATAAATAGGCACTTTTCTGTAGATTGCCAACTCCAGTTTGAATCTTAGTGCTTCGTAGCAGAATCTGCATAAATGGCATTTATGGAGAAAAAGGAAATAAAGGCAGTGGGAGGGGTATAAGAAAGGGTTTTGATACTATATCTAGCAATGAGGAGATTTAAAAAAGAAAGAAAACAGTGGCTTCAACTTTTGTGTGGGTTTGGAAGAAGATGCAAAATAGAGAAAAAAAAGAATGTGTGTGTGTGTGTTATAATAGTGTGAGTTTGTGTGTTCTGTGAAAGCAGACTTGCTGAGTGGTGCCAGTCCCACCAGGCAGTGTTTGCTGCTGGCCCACTGAGGCAACATCTGCTTGGTTGGACACTCCTGGTGGAGTAAGGTCCAYCGAGGCCTGATGGTTGGCTAGTTGTCTCGCAAAGGGAACGCTTAGGGAGAAGGACCTCATAGTATGGGACYAAATCCAATGGTTGCGCATGTTTGTGTCTGTGCCTGTGAGGATGGACCTTGTCCAAGCGGACACGGGGAACAAAGCAGAGCTCTCAGCAATCAGTCATTGCTCTCAAAAGCTGGCCAGGAAGGAAAGGGATCGTGTGAGGATTTGCCCRTGATAAGTCTACTTTCAAAGTCAGAGTCAAGGACATCTTTAGGGATGTGCTTTGAGATGAAACTAGCAGGAAAAAAGAAAATGTTTTACCTTTTTTTTTGTTTCATATGAAGTCTTGGAGGTAAATGTCATAAAACTTTATTTGTATGGTAGAAAATTAAGAATTAATTTTATGACTCCTGTTCTCATGTTTATGTACCTTTTTTTATTTGAATGAAATAGACAATTGAATGTTGGAACATGCCACATTCTTCAGTACTGTAAAGGCTTTTTTTAAACGTTGGGTAGTTATTGCTTTTCTTTTCATATAAACTGAAAACACAAATCCACATGTACACTGAAACAAATCCCTGCGGTTGAGTACTGCAGCTTTTTTTCTGGAAGAAAAAAAAAGGAAGACTGGGGCTACAAAGAAAGGACTCACTTTTCAAAAAACATACAACACTCCTTTTAACAAYTGAGATTTTTAGTCCAGAATTCTTTCATTACCTCATCATAAAATAAATAAATAAATACTTTTGCATAATGTCTGCCTGGTGACTTTATTGGTGCAACTCAAACAATGAATGAATGGCTGCCTTGAGCTCTGTCRTCTCTGATCTTTTAAAGCTGACTTAAAATTGGCTTTTTGGTTCACATGTAACTTTTCACAGCCTTTACAACCAGTTGGGATAGATGCCCTTTATTTTTTTTCTGTTTTAACTGYAAGAAATGTGGCAGTATGGAGTCCATACAACTACTTTTAAATGTTTAGTAGAAATTTCCYTTTGTAACACAGAAAGACAAGAAATTCATTTATTTTCTTTGTATAAGAAGAAATTTGATTTTTCAACAGAAAACTGGAAGAATTATTAATCTTAAAAACAAAAAGTTCACTTTTTTTGGTTCTGGACAGGTTTTCTTCATTAAGCACTTACCTCTATGGATTACTGATGATTTAATTATTGATTATAATGCATTAAAAATATCACACTGATTAAACACCATAGATGTTTAAACATACTTACATCCTGATTGGACATGTCCCAGTAAGGCCTCTCTCCATATGACATCACTTCCCACATGACAATGCCATAACTCCACACATCACTGGCTGAGGTGAACTTTCTGTAAGCGATAGCCTCTGGTGCCGTCCACCTCACCGGTATCTTTCCACCCTGAGGGGACAAAGAGACAGGATGGTTGAATTACAGTAATGTCAGAGTTCTAAAATGATGATGAAGTTCTTCTAGTGAATTAAAGTAGGCCATTATTCTGAAAAACACAGGACTTGTCTTGACTGCTACAAGTTCAATTTTTTATTCTTTAAATCGTCCACCTGCAGCCAAAATATTCATGAGACATTCTGCCCATCTCTAGAGGTACTGTGGACAGTCATCGACCGACTTTACATTTGCTGGTGCCTTGTCTCCTGCAGCCTTGTTTGACGAAAGGAAGATAGGTCTGGGCAATTGCTCCTTATTGAGCGTTTTTGGCTGTAATTAGGCTACCTGGGCCTAAGACACGCCACGCGTGCTGTTGACTGAAATTGACAGCTGCTTGTTTCAAATTCCACGTATGCATTCAAACAAACCCAGCTGGGAAACGGGTGCGCACACAACGAGATGTTTGTGTGCGCACTGTGTGTGTGTGTGTGTGTGCGCACACACAAAACCAATAGACAGAGTCAAACACATAGCCAACCCCCCCCCCCCCCCCCCCCCCCCCGCATCTGAGTTGAGTTCATCACCAGCTCAATAATGCCATTTAACTGAACCTGAGCGTTTGGGGATAAGCTCCTGTTAGAAACAACCCCAAGAGAGACCAGCACAGACCACCCAAAGCGAGAATATATCCTCTTTGAAAACGGTTGGTTTACCCATGTTGTCTGCTTGTGTCTGATTGCCTCTTTTCTTTTCTTTTTTTGTGTGTAGCACTTTTATGTATTGCAGGTTGATGTAGCTCTCAAGTTGTACAGATTATCAGTAAATTGTGCGGTATGAAGATATTTAGTTATTCCGCAAAAATCAAAATATATTAATGACTGTATATAAAAATTCTGACGGTATGAGACACGTGAGGTTAGCCACCAAATTTCCACAAGGCTGCTATGAAAAGTTGGACAAACATATAGTAGGAGATTCCCCGTGTTGTTATTGACGTGTGTTCTGACCACCTCAGCTCATTCAGAAGACACACAGATGAGATGATATGGAGCAGAGACACCCCCGTCTGTTACGCTTCAGCAAGGTTAGTGGCAGATACTTTACTCACTGGCTCCTGAGAACACGGGCCGCCGTAATGCTGACAGACAGCCTCACGGACCAACCAGCCACAGGTTTCTTAAGTCAAACAAAGAGTGGGACTTCTTTTGGATTTAAACGTTTTTTTTTTTCTTTTAATTTTCTTTTCAAGATGCAGAAGCTCTTCACTGCAGACGAGGAAACGGCAACAAACTTTACCGGTACAAAGACTTTCCTCACTACAAGCATGCAGCAGCGTTGCTATGACCACGGTAAGAGTCAAATTATTTTGAAAAGTCTTTTTAAGATGAATTAATTATTTTAAAATGAAAACAAACATAAACAAAACACCTCTCCCTGGCTCTGTACATGTAAATGTTCATGAGCAGCCGTTTTCCCTTTAATTATTAATTACTCAACACACCCCATGTCACTGTGTGACCCAAAGCAAAGACTGTTTGATATAGGCAAGGCTTCAGCATTATCAAAAACAGCTGCTTATGATAGGCAATTATATTGAAAATATCAAGAATGTGTATTGTGATCATATTGCAAGAGTTTTTTTCCGGTAAAAAAACAATAACATTAATGTAGCACATGCTAAGTCCTCCAAGTTAATAAAGTTAATGCAAATGCTAAATGCTTCATCAAAATATTAGTTCTGCTAATAGTGGGTTATTGGATAAGCAGAACCACCACTAGTTATGTTACTAATATGGAGGACTTGACCTTCCTACAAAACACAAATATTAAGGCTTTAAATGAGACATTTCATGCTTTTAAAACCTCTTTTTTCACATTTAAATCATTCAGTTGGGGTCTACTTAAAGAGGAACTGCAATGCTTTGGTCTGAATTCCTCCTTATCYRCAAGCCCCTCTTTCACCCCTTTTCTGAGGTGTGTCTCAGATCAACTTGTTTTGAGGCTGTCTCTTTAAATACAAAAGATGCACTACTTTCCCCTTTTCAGCTTACAGAGCAGTTCATTCCAGTTTGATAGTTTTTTCAGTTTTTTTTTACTATAGTGGCACAGACACTTTTATTTACAAATTAATTAAAAGTTGTCAACAATGGAGGACTTGTCCATTCAGTCTCACATGTTGGAGCAGTTGTCTGACWCAGAGCGAGAGGAGAATGAAGACAAAGAAATTGTAGTTGGTAAGTCCAGAGCTTATTTGGCAGTTCCGYCRCAAATAATTTGACTTAATAGTTCAGAAATAGTCATAAAAACAAAGAAAACTGAACGGGTTGATGAACATGACCTAAAAAAATACAAAAATATATCTGCAGCACCGAGAGAGACTTGATTTAATTTTTCTGTTCTCYTAGAGACTCCAAATACACAACMAAATGCATTTGCCGGCTACAAAAGYGGATTTTGCATKTGTCCCCTTTAACCAYGAAGAATTTGCTGACCCAGAAGAGAGGTTTGATATTTGACAGTGGAAGGGGGTCTGCTATCAGAACACGCTGCAAGAAGACATGGATTCGCCTCATGGAGGATATCAGCAAAGGTTAAATAAAAAAGACACGAGGGAGTGTAAAAAGCAATCAGAGGTGCAGCATTAGGTTTTTGGCTATAAAAAGTCAGTGAAAAAGTAAGAAAGGATGTGAAGAAGAGATCAATAAGTGAATAAAGGCTGTGTGAACTTGCATGACTTCAGTGCTCAGCTCATATCGTAGTTTAGCTCATGTCTGAATCATTTCATCWAGACTGAAAACACGGGGCTCTCTTGCATGCCCTTCTTAATGATGGAGTGCATGGAGACCACACTGGTACGGTAAAAATATATTCCCTGCAAAAATTTATCTTAAAATGACCAACCCTGCTTTTTGTTGTTTTTGTTTTACCTCTAGGGAAAATGTCTTATGTCAAAAATCTTGTTCAAATAAAAATACATCAAATGAAAAAAAATGAAAAAATAAATGCAGAGTAGCAGAAAAAAAAACAATGACTTGCTTCCAGCAAATCTATTACAATCTCTCTTTGTAACATGCTTTCCTTTCTGCTCAGTTTATACATCTGGTCCCACGCCCTAGGACCCTGTTAGGATATGAGCTGAGCATCGCTGAAATGGTCTGAACAAAGATACGGGCTTCACAAGATGCTCCCAGTGTGCCACCAATGAGACAGACATTTGTAACAACATTTCCAAGCCGGGTGAGTCAGAGGCAGCTATGCACACCCTCGGTAATTACTGCTGTGGGCCAGTGATAGCTCTGCCAAAATCCCGCTTCAATAACATGCAGTGCTGAACAGCTCATGCATACAGAGACAAAGGCAAAAAACATAACAAAAAAATCTATTTTTTTACAAAAAAAAACATCAATACTTAGGGGAAATTGGTTGGGGGGCAAAGTAGTGATGATGAGATGTAAAAATAGGTCTAATGTCAACACCAAAGAAGAAGCTTCTGAAGCCTTTAAGCATGGGAGAAACTATACAGTGCTGGCTATTGAAAACAGAAAGAGCTGTTTTTTCCTGTTTGCATTGAAGTGAAATATCGTTTTATAAGGCAGAATTCAAACGCTCCTATTATTTCAGACAGTTAACTCAGAATGCGTGCGGACGAGCCACACTTTATGGTCACTGCAGCCGCAGAACTTCTAAGACTTGAGTGGAGAAAAATCTAATAATATACTTCACAAAACTCTGCATATAAGTACAGTAGGTGACACGCAGGGCTTGATTTTCTAGCAATATCAGGTGGTTCAATTTTCTGGTTGATAAGTTTTGGCACTTTAAATAAAAAGTGAGCGTTCCTATGGGTGCGAAACCACTAAATTATGGTGGCGCGCGCACACACACATACACACAGAGAAGTTCCTTCCTACATATTCGGGGCGGATAACACATCTAGCCATGTTTGCACACAGAATTCCAACCCTGAAAACCTTGAGCTAACATTTGAGACGGCTGTCATCGCTATACCAACAAAGTGAGATTACAGTACGTGACTGGCTCCACCTGGTTGTGACCGCCTCTGACAGGTCATGACCAGCAGTGACAGCTCGTGATGGGTCTGAAGTGTGACGGTGAAAGAGAGGTGCTGGGACTGTCCGTTTCAGAGGTTTCATGGTCGGACCGGCGCGTTTCCTTGTGACAGCCCCACGTCGACGAGAGGAAGGATAAACATTTGCAGGTCAGGTAATGTGTGTCTTCGACTGTGAGACACATAGCAAGGATGTGAAACACCTGTCAAGTCTTGGCTTTAGTTTGAGCTACGGAGCCACTAATGTGCAGGWAACTCCATGTAGTCTGTCACAGACATGCTGATGTGAAATGAGGCAAAATTCGGTACACACCTAGCCGTCACAGTCCAATGAACAGTTGTCACCGACATGCAGGAACATCCCAGATAAGCTTACTGCAGAGGCGTCCAGCACTTGTTGTTTTTACTCAGCTTTTATTTTTTAACTTTGTTTTGCGATCCTAAACAAACTTTCTAAGCCATCTGGAAGACGAATASGTGGATCTTTCGCTCCCTGTTCTTTTTTCCTCCCCCATTCCCTCTTCTCCTTGCCTTTCCTTCACCGACGTCAGTAATCTATTTCCAAACAATGCACACTCAAATGGGCTTGAGCACATTTACTTAGGCTGGGCAGAGTGCTCCATCAACATAGTTTTAATGAAATCCTGAAAGCAACGATCTGCCCTGGATGTCTGCCCAAACAGAATAAATAAAAATGGGTTGGGGGGGGGCTGAAGGAGGCAGAGAAGATGATTGACATGAAGAGATGTGGAGAAGGAAGCAAAATGAAAAGAGAAAAGAAGGTCATTCTGTGACTGAGTTGYTGGTTTCTCAGGCACTCGTGGGAATGTCTGGTGAAACAGGGACACAGGTCTTCCAACGTGTAAACAATGAAATAGTGCAGARCTCTAGAGAAACCTTTTACAGACTATTATGCATTTCAAAAAACCTGAGTGTGACATTC